CAGTCGTTGTCAAACCCGCGCCAATGGCCGAATGTTGTGGTAAAGGTGAGTTAAGCTGGACACAATGGATGTAAAGCATCAAAGAAACAGTATACATTTACTTGATACAATTTCCTTAGATTTCCTTATTGTAATATACCATTCCCACAACAAATACTTGATTCTTCTGATTGGCTGGCAGGTGTCTATTCATTTTTTTAGTAACCAGACAGTTTAGCCAGACACATATGGTGCAGATTTCTGTTTACAGAGTGTTAAACTCAAGCTAAAGAGCTTGGAATTTCACCACATTTTTGGGTATACCTCACATATAAATACGATGTTTTCCTGGTACAAAATTTCAGAAATTCATAGTTTTGTCATCTTAGTTGTGGCTGAGCTAAAAGTGATACCGTTTGAAGAATCATCCAGATCTTTTTTTTGCAGAGGCTTTTGATGTGGACAAGCAGATGTGTTGTGGTCTGATTAACAATAAGACAATCCTGACGAGAAATTCTAGTGACCACCGGTGCTGTGGACAGAACCAGTTTGACACTAAGACTACTTGCTGCTGTTCACGGATGGAAGATCTAACGATAAAACCCATCAGTTCCAGATGCTGTGTGAATCAGTCGGGTGCGTCGAAACGTCGTCCCTTATCTGCCTAATGAAGTTGCATGCAAATCTTTGAAAAGTGTTTAGTATTGTTATCTCAGTTTCATGTTTATTATTCAAAATATGATGTAAATATATAAACAAATATGCGAGTAGAGAGACGCTCTTATGTTCAGGAAATGCTGAAGGAAACAAGCTCTTGTGTGATGCCATTGCAAGGCGGTCTTTTAGTTCAAACTATATATTAAATATGGTATTTTACAATTGACAACCAAGGATTTTACCACGTTTCTCTAATGATTATCAATCTTCATCTGAGATATGAAAATAGCACTGTGTATAGGGGCCTTCACACATCTCCCATTGTCATGGCAATCTTAGCAAGCCGATAGTTATCAATGCACAAGGAACAAAGAACTTCCTGCTAATTAATGTGTGCGCGATGCTTGTATGTTGACGGGATCTTTGTCTTTACAGCTCGCTGCGGGGAGAATGCCTACAACAAATTCCATGACCTATGCTGTCAATCAACTGTTGTAGCCAAACATGCATCAAATGCCCAATGCTGTGGTAAACGTGAGTAGAGCTGAATTGAAGCACAGTATCCTGGTGGAAGACTCTGACTCATGTCAGCTGTGTTTTGGCCGATCTTTTCCACAGATGCGTTTAATGATGGTACACAGTTGTGTTGTGGTCAGATTGACAATAAGACAATCCTGGAGAGAAATTCCAGTGACCACCAGTGCTGTGGACAGAACCAGTTTGACACAAACAAGCAGCGCTGCTGTCCGATGACGGGAGGTCTAAAGATACAACCCATCAGTTCCAGCTGTGTGGAGGAGTCGGGTGCGTCTAAACCTGTTCCGCCATCTGCGGAAGTTACACGTAGTTTCATGTAAATCTTTGAAATCTGTTTGGTTCTCAAAGGTTCATATTTATTTTTTCAATATTTGCAGCTCATCTTCCCAACACAAGCCACCCTCATGAAATTAGAGAGAAGGAACTTTGAATTATCACATAGATGATTGTAGACCCTACTTGAATATAATGCCTTTTTATTTATTGTATTATAATTAATTTGAGAAGAAATTATTGCAGTTTATTCTCATGACATGGCCGGTGTGCTCTCCATCCTGGTTAGGCACAGAAACAGAAAAGACGAAATACAGCAAATGTCTGAACATGCAGGATGAGTCACTGACAGCTCTTCAATTTTGTCTAGAAGGGATGATAAGCTGCCTACGCACGTCTTCACTGTCTCCTGTTGACATTTCTGATTTATTTAATCATGTTATGCTCAAGACACTTTATGTGCTTTATCTCCACAGGTGTGGAACAACAGGTAAGAAACAAACTGCTATTTTCAGTTTATGTGATTAACCTCTCTGTTGTGAGAGACGACAAGTGAGCTGTTTTGAAGCTGTCCAAAATTGATTGCACCACAACGATAACTTTCTACATGGACAGTATCTACTATCTGCAACACATTATAATAAATATAGGGTGGATAAAATAATCAGACAATATAATGCAATCCACAGAAGTTATTTAATAAAGCTTACCATTGTGAGGCAGTTAAGTTGAGTGTGAGGATTCAGATGGATCATAATAATGGTTAAAGCCTTAGTCATGTTGTTGCATTGATCAGTGAAGAAGAGGGACAGAGCAGCAAAGTAGTGGGTTGCCCTCTATGAAAAATTTACATTTCTGTGATCTATTCATTTTTTTCAGAAACCCGAACCTCAACCCAACTGGTAAGTCAACCAAAGGTTCAAACTATCTTACTATTAACTACTCACTGGGACCAAAACAACTTTTATTTTTCCCACACACTGAGTTGTTTTCTTGTAATGTTAATGCATTGAGAGTTGCTCACCAATATGCATTGTGGTCTAACAAACATGTCGAATGCAATGCCTTCCTCATAACATTCTTGCAAAGCAAGCAAGCAGCAGGCCAATTTATAAACTTTCTTACTTATTTACATACTAGATGAAGAGGCCATTGTTTTGCAAACGTGAGTCTGCGACTTGCCGCAAGTTGGTTTATACGGAAGTTAGCCCGCTAAAGGTTGCAATGGAAACGGTTCATGTTAAAATAGCTGCCTCTCTGACCATCCTGCTACCTTTTATTTAAATCGGAATGTTAGTTGTACTCTCATTGTATTTGCACACGTGAAACCATCCACGATTACCATGTCACCAGTGTGCGTCTTGCATTAGAGGTCAAAAACTCCACAGGGAACCTTTAACCCAGTGATTACATTGTTGCTAATGTGACTTTTAATGGGTTGAACTGAAGTCATGCACACTTTTGATCATTTTGCTGCACAAAGAATTGTGTGTCCATGCTTTTTACATTACTTTTGCCTGTCTTTGCACATCACAGCACTGAGCCAGACACGAATCTCTGTGGTTCATCATGTTACAATCCGAGTAACTTTCGCTGCTGTATGAAACTCCAGGGAAAGTCTCAGCGGTGCTGTGCCACAGGTATGACAAGTGGTTTCGTTGGTTTTGAGTGTGTGGGTGTTGCATCTGCCAGTTGTGATCATTATGTTGTGTGTGAGGGTGTGTGTGAAAGGACTACTTGCACCACAAATTCCCCCTGGAGGGCATGAGACTTAAAGGATTCTAGAGCCGTTTGTTGAAAATATTAGGTAATGGTATAAGCACCTGTAAACACCCTCAGGGGCAACTGTGAATGGAAAGACTAATATGCTACTGTGTCAGGAGACATTGCTAAGCTAAGCTTGTGAGAGGTTAGGATGATGAAAATCAGTTTACTATAACTCCCCTGCATACGGTTTGAGTCATGATTGATTCAAAACAACCCGTGTTTTCTGATTTTCAGAAAACTCCAGCAAGTATAAAATTCTGTCAGAGAGGACAGTTTCCGGTCTGAATCTAAATAACTAACTGCACACTGAAGAAAGAGTAGTTGGAACATCTGAAACATCTTAGAAGAACAGCATTGTGATCTCGGGTGTGTGAACTCTTACATTCGTTTCTTTTGGAAGAATGCATAGAAAGTTAAGGAAAATATGTTTCATTCTAAACTGGCTGACTCCCTTCCTTTCCTCTGACTTAGAAAAGTTTCCAGACCTTAAAGTATGTCGAAGCATGAATTACAAACATGTTCATTTTATTGCATTTTCTATTTGCAAGATCAATATCACACTTTGTATAATGTGGGGACAGAGGGCAGGATGACTTGTGACAAGAGTTGTTTGGCAGCATTCGAATGTGAAACATAAACCTCAGGGGGCTCTTCACCGTCCCCTGAGGTTACGAATATCCCATCTGACTAATGACTCCTGCATAGCAAAAGTGCTTTTCTCAGGGCTGTGGATCAGCTCCTGTCTCCTTGTTGTTCAGACCTGGATCTTGGAAATATGGGGCAGTGGACGAAAGAGCACGAAAACCCCTCTTCTTTATTAATCTGTACAGCTGGAAAGTAACACATGTACAGAGGAGAGGCATGAAAGATCAGATGGGAGAATATTGGCTTTTGGTCTCACAGATCTGGGATCATTATCCTATCTGAGGGCTTTCTGCTACTTCAGTTGTTATTTTCTTCTTAATGTTTAGCTCAATACAAAAACAACGAATGACAGGAATTCACGCATATGGTTTCCCACCGGTTGCATTAAAAGACAGGCTCTCACGTTTGTGTATCAATGAGGGTAGTGTCTTGAAAAACAAGATGTTAAACTGCAACTGCTGGTAAACTCCCTAACAGACATGCCTGCGGAATTTTTTCAAACAACATTCCCTTCCATAAATTACATTCTCTTGTCTTTGTCTAATCTTCTGAGTCACCTTTCCAGATGTTATTCCTCCCCACTCACCCCGTCTGTTTAGGTCCACCTGCTGATGCCCCCTCTGTGTATAACCCACATACACATGTCTGCTGTGATGGCTGTGTATCTGAGAGGACGCCTTCGAAAGATCAAGTAATGTATTAATGACACTTACTGTCTCTGATTTGCTCAGCTGGGTGGAGTATTTTTGCTGCGAAGGTCAAACATTTTCTGTGTTGTTTAGTTTTTTGAAACGCAAACCACAGTTTTCAGTTCACACCCTTCTCAAAAACTGAATTGAAAATAAAATAGCTTTTTTTAGGTGGGTGCCTTGTCTGTCTTCTGACAACATTTTTAATCAATACAGAAGCTGGTTTAAGGAAATGCAGCAAATTTCTTTAATATAATCTATGCAAAGAATATTTGTTCAGTCTTAGAACTAACAGCAGTGCATCTCAGATAATACTGTAAAAAAATAATAAAACTCTGCTGTATTGGGTCAGCTTTGTTGAGAGGACTCAGAGCTCCTCCCAGCTCCTTTTATACAGCAAGTGCGTGTGTTTTTTGTCTTAATGGATAAACGAACTGCTAACGTTAGCGTTATTTACATTAACCACCTGCATACTACATCTTTTTGTTTTGGGTCTGTATTTTTGTCAGAATTCATGCATACATATGTTTCCATATTTGCATTGAATGTGTCTGCTTGAGTCTCTACTGCTGCACACTCTATTTCCTCTGATTCTTCAAATGCTGGGGAGAGATGCTAGATGGCACAACGCAGAGATGGAGAGAAATGTTCAGAGATCAGCATTCCTTGTAACCAAGCTAAAGGGACTATTTCTTGTTCTCAGTTTCATGGCTTACCTGGACAACACTGCTCCTGGACAAAAGTCCGTCGGCCTCACACTGAGATCTGCTGCAATGGACAAAGGTGATTATTTGTGCACGTGTGCCTATCCAGGAAAATACTGATTATATTCAGTGAGAGGTTGTAACCTTTTCTTTAATCAGCTTAGTGTGTTGCAGTATCTGTTATGTGTTTTATGTGCTATTTGTTCATAGTGAGTTTTCAAAAGCTAAAGAATGTGTCTGTGTGGGAAACAGTGAGGGAGAATGCAGACAAACTCAGACAGGAGCGTCATGGAAAAATACTCCCAGGCTAGTTTCATACTGTCTCCGAGACAGCCAGGCATTCCAGCAGACATCACTGAACCTTTGCCTCTTTTGAATTGTTACTGGCAACCTTTAAAATTCCTGAGTGTCTGGAATGTCTGCGTCTGGCTTCACGGCTGCTCTGCCAAATGTCTGCTTTTTCTGTGCGTATGTTTGTCACATGCTTTTGCATGTGAATTAGTTATGATTAGTTGGTGAAGAAAACCTGGCCAGCTAAAGAACTACATATTTTTCTGAGGTTTTGGTGGAGACCACATCAAAGCTCAAAGGAGAGTGATCCTTAGATTGACATTTGTTAAGTGGCAAGAGACACATGCAGAGGCTTGCTTCTGTGTCTGCCAGATGTGTTGAAAATTGTTTGCTGATATGTTGGCAAGATCAACTTGATAACATTGACGTCATGGGTCTCATGCTTGTCTGATGAAACACCATGTAACAGCTTGAGTTTTACTCCGGTTTTACACATGTAACAACAGCCCAAAGACTTGTTTCAGGCTTCAGGTATGTTTAAATACTGTGGCACAGTACTGAAGCTGTGCTGCTGACATGCTTCTTTCACCTCACATCCTGTGTAGACACTGTTTTCACAAAGTTATCTTCTATTCTGACATCCAGCGTACTTAATGCCCGGAGGAAGCATATTAGCTCAGCCTCTTTTGAATGTAAAATGATCTGTCTTCATAACAACTTCTTTATCCCACTCACCTGATTTGATATTAACAACGAGCTTTCTTTGTCCACCCAGACATCTCAGAAAAGAAAACACTCACTGCGGTGGGGTAAAAGCCTACAACATTAAAGACCCACTGATGAAGTGCTGCGCAGGGACACTGTACAACCTGACTGTTGGACATGAGGAGCATAAGGTAGGTTTTATTGATGATAATAATAATAATAATAATAATAATAATAATAAGGATGATGATAATAATAAGGATAATAATACTATGATCACGAACTCTGGGTCGTGACCATAGTATTATTATACTATGAACTTGGAGTTGAGGCGCTTGGAGTTGAGGCGCTACTCCTTTGCGTTGAAAAGAGTCAGCTGAGGTGGTTCGGGCATCTAATCAGGATGCCTCCTGGGCGCCTCCCACTGGAGGTTTTCTGGGCACGCCCAACTGATAGGAGACCCCGGGGAAGACCCAGGCCAAATCCCAATGTCCCCCCTAAACCCTCAAACCCTGAACCCTCAAGGACTTCGCGGGAGCGCGCCTCAAAGTCCGTGAGTCCGTAAGGGGGGACATTGGGATTTGGCCCCAGAAGGGATTATATCTCCCAGCTGGCCTGGGAACACCTCTGGATCCACCGGAATGAGTTGGAAAATGTTATGGGGAAGAGGGAAGTCTGAGTCAGCCTGCTTGGCCTGCTGCCACCTTTTGTTCAGAGTTTTGAAAGGCATGCAAGGCCGACAACATCAACACAAGGGCAATACATATGAGACTGCGTTTGTTTAAAAAAATGTAAGCTTAATTATTATTATTTTTTTCCTGAACGTAGAAAGTACTCTTTTTTTCAGTCTTTGATGGACTCCTCCGTAGATATTGGCAGCAATAGAAGAAGTCCTGCAGAGAATCTTACACTTCTAATTTGAATATAACCACAACCACTTTCATCTTTGGTGTGTATGTAAATTTAACAAGGCTTATGCCTAAAATTAATAATTTCCAATATTATATACCAGAACTCAACCATCTGGAGTGGTGAACTAGTCACACCACTTCTGCTCATAAGCCTGGTGATGACATTCATATAAGTGTGCTCTGAATCGTTTAACTGAATATTTTGTATATTGTGGACATCAAGGAGTCGGCATATCAGTAAGATGGCAAACAAGCATATTTTTACTGACCATAAATGTGACACTGTTTATAAACAGAATGTGTGCTGTTCGAGTGAGGACATGGAGGTGCTCTACTCTGTCAAAGTGAGATTTGGATGCTGTGGTCACCTCTACTACAACACCTCCCTGTGGTCATGCTGTGCAGGGAAGCTGAGTCCTGTACCTCAACCAGGACAGCATCACAGTGAGAAGATTAAAGGTCAGTTTTGCGGTGCTTGGACATTGCCTCACAAAAGAGTATTTGATCTGTGTCATTTTGTCACGTCGTGTATATTCCAGTTTCTGCATCTTAGCAATAATATATGTATAATGTTCTTTTTCAGAATCCAAACTTCTGTCCGTGAACAATCTGAATGAAACAGTTCTTTGTGGCAAAAGTAAGATATCAGTTTGTACATTGAATTTTTGAACAGATACTGTTTATGAATATATGTGAATTTGTAAATTTCGTGTTTGTTTATGTCCCTGTTTAGTGCAAATCGGGACTGTGGAAAGTGTTTCCCTGCACGGTATCATGTTCAACAGTGTGTTGAGAATCCATGGAAGAAAGGCCTTTGTGAGACCTCTGGCCTCACCTCACCTCCTGCAAACCCCTGATTACTGCAGCACCCCGAAACTGGTCCGTGGGAAGAGCTACTTCTTTGATGAAGTTAATGTCTTCACTGATTTCAACCATGACTCTATTCTCGAGTCCCTCCATTTCATTATTTCCAAGTGTTACCGCCCTGTTACCACCACCAGTGTTCCTGTTCCTGTGTAGGGTTGGACAATTTACTTTAATCATTGTTCATTACTTGTCGAAAAAAAACATAACATGCAGCCAACCTACAATTGTTGAGTTAAAAAAAAAAAAAACTAATTTGCAGTCAAATTACCATCAACAAATTGCTAGCCAATTAACCTGGATCCTTTCGACCTGTCTCCATAAGACTCGTCCTCATAGGGAATTTGCAGGGCTTCTTCTAACTCTGAACAAAGCCTGCTGACTCCTGAATATTCCCAGACGCCTGCCGGCTAGATATCACAATGTGTAAACAGCACATCTGTGGAATTATCAGAGGGCATATTCCTTGTCTTTTAGCGGAGGCTAGCCCTCATCTCCCACCTGCAGCCTCCTCACAAAGTCCACACGTCCCAAACAGTCTGTTCACTGACAGACATCAAATAAAGAAACTCTCCACAATCTTGAAGTAGCAGAGCATCACAACAATTATTAACTACAATGGGGGTTTTTTTATTTTACTTTTATCTAGCCAGGATAATATATAATATTTTGAATATCTTTTACAAGGGCATCCTGTCCAAGATGGCACAGATCACAGACTTAAAAAACAAAACAGCAAAAAGTTAAAAAGCATCATAATTAATAAAATAATTAAACGGTCTTAAGAAATCTTATGTATACATTTATTTGCCGGCTTAATGACTCTGAAAATGAAATAATCTTGGTTTTATCAAACATAAGATTTAATACCACATGCTACCAGTCCCAGCTGGGGAGACATTGATACAGCTGTCTCTTGGTAAGGCATTGCTAGGCCTATGTACTTTTATTGTGCTTTTGTATGTAATTTTATTCTATTTAGTCTTATCTGGACCCTGAGTCTGAAATATAGTTTTGATTGATTGATTGAATTCACATGAAAGGGATGACAGAATTAGAACAATCCAGCAAATTGCATCAAACAAAGAATTCAGTGTTAGGACAAGTACATCAGTGCTCAAATTATCCTTAATCCTATTTTTAAACTCTTGCATGCTTATGAAATAATCTAGCTCAGAATGTCTCTATAGTTAACGACAGGATGACCAAAAATGGTGCAAGTTCTAGGAATGACGTACATAATTTTTTGGCATGAATGGTGGTTACAGCTATGTTCAGTAATCACTATAACACTGCCCAACATGGTCCATGGTGACATATTCATCTTTACGCTGTGAAGTATAATTTTCAAGACTTTGTGTAAAAGCTGGGCTCTCTGCAGAAACAAATAGCTGGCTCTATGGTAGCTGGCAGCATGCAAGAATATATTAATTTGTAGCTTGATTTTCAAATAAGCTAAAAATCTACTAGCTAATGTGTTTTGGTTTTTGGAATATTATGTTTTTATTTTTATATATTACTTTTAAATTTGCCGAAAACTACATAGTTAGTGGCAACCGTTTGCACACAAGTCACTCATACAGATGTATGTTTAAATATAAATGAGAGGATTTTTCACATCCCTATTTAGCATTCTTCAAAAATATCAGGGAGCCAAATATGCTAATTGGAACTAAAATCCCAATCACTTAAAGATTGAGCTGATTTTTGGTGTACTGTTCATTCCTGTACTGTACTTATTTTAAGCAGCATTAACTCATAATATTGCATGTTTAAGTATGTTTTTTTTATATATGACAGGGCCTCATGTGAGTGTTTTCTTTTATCCACTTTATCTAAATAAAAAACCATATATAAGCAAACCTGTTGTGTCATATTTTACTTATTAATTGAAGCTTGTGCTTGGGCGCTGGAGGCTTATGAATACTTTGACATTGTTTGCCTGTTGTTTTTGCGTGGGTCTTATTTGAATAGTTTCATTTTAGCTAACACTAGTAAGGTTTCCATCCACATGTAACACAAATTTAAACTGTTTTTACAGAAAATCTGCAAAAGGATAGGATCTTGTCATGATGTGGTTCTTTCTCTCGATGCAAGCAAACATCATACCAATAATTTTAGTACTTTGTCCCACTGTCATGGTGTTGACAGGGAACAGTTGCTTAATAACTCCCTGTGTTGTAGCTCCAGACAGGGCTGCCATTCGCTTAGTCATGACCCCACAACACCAAGCACTACATTTCTCTGTATGCCGACAATATGCTGCTATTCATTTACAGTGCCCTCGACTTCCCAATTGAACATGTTTTTCAGAATATCAGATATTTGAGTTTCAATCCATCCTTTACTCGTAAACACAAATAACTAATACATGTAAACAGAGATGACATTTAATCTACAAAGATAAATAATTCTTATCTTATTGAAAATGTCTGAAAAATTATATCCAAATGCTATCTTCAGTGAGTTAAAGTTCTTAGTTGCTAAGAACTTTCCAGACTCTATGCTTTCAGGCTTTCCGTTCTTACATCATCACAATACTGCCTCTGCAATCTATGGGCATGTAATCTATTTACAATAACTCACTGAAATCACCCTACTGCCATACACTGTAATAATGAGGTATTTGGTTAAATCGTAAAATTAAAAAAATCCCAATTGCCTTCTTGCCTTTAAGCAACATAGTCTTGTTATAGGTACCCAAAACGTATTTAATCGATTCCTAATATGTACTGAATAAATTCAACGGTGTTTGCGTGTTTAAATCCAAAGCATTCCTTCCACAGTGTTTTTTTCTTCCAATTTGTAGACATAAACAGATGATAACTTTCAAGAGTGGAACTGTGTGGTAAAGATAGCAAATTCACAATGATCAAAGGATGACGAAGTTAAGGAGGTAAATATTTAAATACAGTTTTTAACTTGTTGATAGCTGACCTTTGCTCTAAATTGCAACGTATCGTTCCAAACAAAATACCAGACATTTGGCAGCAGTTGGGGACACACTGAAATGCTGAACATGCCATTATGGACTGAGTGATTTAAAGGTAATCACAACCACTTTATCACTTTGGTGGTCCACATATTTTGTGTTGGTTTTTGCCAACTGACTTTTTTTTATTATGAATAAACTAAATCCTTTCAAATGTGACATTTGCACAAGATATAAGACTGCTCAGTTGACTAGTGTTTCAATAGGAACAAATTCATCAGGGACTGTTCAGTTTTGTTTAACGTGGTTTGAGGATGCTAAAAAAAATCAGATCAACTGGACACCTTGACAGCTTCGACATAAACACACTCTAAATATATTGTGAAATGATCTTCTCAGATAAGACATAAGGAGGATAATTTGACACAATGATGGTGAGTGTGGACCTGAAAGCACAATGATCAGTATATCTGAAACAAACTCAGCAAGTAGACACATGTTGTCTGTGTTATGTGAAGACTAAGAGAAAGCGGGAGTGTATATGTTTGAGTATGTTTGTGGCTCATAAAAGGAGAGTAAAGATAGATTATTGAGTTGGTGATAAGTAGTAGCCATATACAGATCATTAAAGCCATCGTTGAAGCCACCTCCAGTTCCAGAAGCAACGAGTACCAACTCACTTTTGGATGGGGAAACTGTTGTTGTGTAAGTAGTGTTAATTGCATAGAATAAGACAGAATTACATGGATTAAATATATAGATAGTGAGAAGAGCAAACTAACAATTTTCTCCTCTGTAGCTCCTGATGGCATCAAACAACTGAACAAATATCGTTCATCCTGATGCTGTTACTTAGCACATGACTTTACAGCACACAAAGAAGAAAATCCATCTGCAGCCTTAACAAGAGACAATAAAGAAATATTTATCCTGCTGCTGCCCATCCCTGAGCCCCAGCAGGGAAACTGTTTGTTTTTACCTGCTTTCCGTGCTCATTGCTCTTTACATGCTGGCTGGTGCAGCCATATTTTCCTCCTTGGAGAGACCAGCAGAGCTTAAGGCCCACCAGCTCTGGGAAACGAGGCTAAGAGACTTCAGTCATGAGCACAACATTAGTTGTGAAGAGCTGAAATCCCTATTGTGCCACTATGAAGAGGCGAGGACTGCAGGCATCCGGACAAAACAAGGCAGAGCCTTATGGGACATCCCAGGTGCCTTCTACTTCGTGGGTACTGTAGTCTCCACCATTGGTGAGTCAGGATATAATACTATATTGAAATTGGTAACATCTACTGTTTCATCTACAATCCATACTTGTAAAACAGAATACAAAATACAGTTTCAGTTCCAAGATTGTTCTGCCCAACATCATTGCTATTTTCTTCAAATCCCACACAATCATATGTGGCTTGGTTTTAATGAATGATCAGCCTGTGAACAACTTGAATCTTAACTTTGTCAATTTTACAGTTAAATGTGAAGTGCAGAATTTGAAAAGTTGATAACTTCAACAAATTATGTAAGACAAGGCCCATTACCAAGTGATGATTGTTTCGTTCTGATTGCTGCAGACAAAATGTTATGTCATGCAAAATTACAGATACACAGATACAACAAAGGCCAATTGTTAAGCATGTGCTGAAACAGAGAGGACCCGTTGACAACCAATCAATATCATTTCCAAGTAACACACACAATTGAACTAATCCTATTAGACCGGGCAAGTCATATTGATTTTGGGAGGGTAGAGATGTTTTAACTCCACTGCAATCCATCCAAATCCATATTTCACCTGAACCTATAGAGCATATAGGGCAAACATTACAAATTAAACCAGCCTCGTCTCTGAGAATCAATTTACAGCCTTCTAAATGTAACCACTATCTTCAGGCACTCTTTGTCACTGTGGAAACTGAGGGACAGACGGCACTGAGCCTGGATCAATTTCCTTTGTACAACAACTTCCATATTTACCAACTGCAATCATCTCATGATGTAACCGATGGGATTTGTGACACTAAATCAGACTTTCTGGCGTTTTTTGTTTTGTTCCCCAAGATCAAACACATGACATTTCACATGACCCATGGTTATGACTCCCACATTTGTATTCCCTCACTAAAGAGCTGCCTTTCATTCCTTCCTTGCTTTCAGCCCCCTGTCTAAAAACATATTTTTATAACTTTTTCGACTAGGCACAACGAAACTAAACATACTGTATGTGTAAGAATCTACAGTTGCAGCTCTGTAACAGAGTGGTTACACCACATACCACATGACCGTAATGATGCAGGTTGTATAGGGATCTTTTTCTCTTCCCCCATTTGCTGTCTACCTCTTCAGTGCCAAAACAATCTTTAAAAATTTCACAACCATGTAATTGGCTCCGTTAGGCTGTACTGAGGCATAAATGTTTTTTATTTAAGTAAATGTTTATATGGCAACATGGTCACGATAATGATGTTACTCGTTAGCAAATATAATTATCTGCTCCGACTCAATGTCGACTCAGTGGCTTTGCAGTCAGCTAAACTCTTCGTCATACTTTTCCTCCATTGGGACATTAGGATTTGGCCTATGACATCAATCTGACCTTATCAATGCCATAACAATACAAAAGCCTTGTCGTCGTATCTGTGAAATCCTACAGACTTCCCACTTACACCTTCAGAAGTTTGAGACCAGATGGAAAGTGTGAAACCACAGGAAGATTACAGAGGAGTTGTTTGGTATGCGCCGGGAAAGGAAAAACATGACCAAGGAAATGAGTAGCATAAGATTCTTTTCATTAATAAGTGGGATGTTAGACTACAGTGTGTGTATTCTGCTTCAAAGGCCTGTGTCCTCATGTGAGTGTCTGTGTGAACTTCTTTTGACACCAAGTGTCTCAGCTGGTTTTACGATTAGAATAAATGTCCTGTTTAATGATTTTTACATGGGCCTCGAGGGAATTTTTCTAACACTGTACAACAGCTACTTACTTGTTGCTAGGGTAAAGGTCTTGACATCATCAACAGTAATAGATTTCTGTTTCCTCGGAAAATGTTGACCATATTGTAATACAATCCGGTCATTAACTTGTAAAAAAACAAACCAAGGGAAGGAGGGAAGCCACAACCTCCGGTGTAAGTATCTCACACTGTACTCACTGCTGACCCAAAGGTCAAGTTTTATTTCAGGGAAACTTGGAGGAAGCGTCAAAAATAGACTGGGTCTTTACATATTTGTCTGCACAGTAAACATTTATTTTATTGGGAATCAGTGAAGATTTAATTTTACTCACATTTTTGTTGTTAAGCACACAAACTAAATCATATATTATGGGCCAAAAAATACCTAAATGAGTTTGCAGGGAAATAAGCAAATATAGATGATATTTATCTTGATAATCCATTTATTTAATGTTTATTTCTGATCACTTTTTCAGTTATTTTCTTAATATTTCATAAACATTATCCTTTACGAGTTTTGTATTTTTGTTCCATATCTTCTCCCATCAAAACACAGGCCATTTTTATTTTGAAAGTGTACACAGTTTAAACTTCTAACGTCCTTACAGGGCATAAAAGGGTATGTTGACTTGTCATACTTTCTAAGCAATTGTTTAACACAAGACATTTTCAGTGACACAATCCTCTGTGAAAAGACACCGATGTTATGATAGCGTGTGTAATCACAGATGAGACCTTTAACCTTCAGTGTTTCTCTTAGGGTTTGGAGTGACGGCCCCTTCCACTGTGACAGGGAAGGTCTTGCTTGTTTTCTATGGGCTGCTGGGCTGCTCAGCTACCATACTCTTCTTCAATCTCTTGCTGGAGAGAGTCATAACATTGCTGAGCTTGCTGATATTCTGGTGCCACAGAAGAACTGGACACAGCGGACTGGAGGGCTGAGCCAGTGACGACAACAAAAATGAAGGATGGAAACCATCTGTATACCAAGTCACACTCGTCCTTTTTGTTGTTGTCCTGCTGGTTGCATGTGGGGCTGCCTCTCTCTATTCAACCATGGAGGGCTGGACTTACATGGAGTCCCTCTACTTCTGCTTCGTGGAGTTCAGCACGGTGGGCTTTGGGGACTTTGTTAGTGGCCATCGAGAGCACCACGAGAACACCTGGGCGTACCAGGTTGCAAATTGTCTCCTGATGCTCTTGGGAGTGTGCTGCACTTATTCCCTCTTTAACACCATCTCTGTGATCATCAAACAGGGGCTGAACTGGATGCTTGGAACAATGGCTTGGATGTGTAGCTGTATCTGCCACTATAGGTTGCAACTCAGACCACTGTTCAAACTCTGTTCTTCTGACTCTGAGCCACCTATATGCTATTGTGAAGATGAAACGCCAGGTACAAGCAGTTTTCAGTTCCGGCCACCGTATGATGTGGCACTCCTTTGTTCCAAATGCTATTGGAAAATGCCTTTGTGATGAGGCACAGGTAGAGACGGTGTGCCACAGAGAGATAGAGCAGGACATTAGTTCATATGAAAGGAATGTAATCTATGCTGGACCACTGTCCACCTGGCAAAATTAAATGATTTCTGAACACATAATAACAAACACAGCGATATCTGTACCTCTATTTAGTAATCAAAGGGTTAAAATGCTGTTAATGTTTATCTCAGATGACTGAGCTACTTCTGTGAAAACATGTAAAATTCATCTACCACACATTTGGTTGTTGGTGCGTTTATGCTTGAATTAAACTAAACCAAGACACAGAATTTAACAAGTGGTCAGCAAGTCATCAGCAAGTTTCAAAACATACCAGTTAAATAATTGTGTCCATAAGTATTTGTGTACAAGATTAGAAATGACACAACCATGTGGAGAAGTAAAATTTGGAGGACAACACACCAGCGACCCTGACACGGTGGGGAACTGTTTGTCAAGAAATCCATTATCCAACCTACGCATAAGATTTACACATTGAATATTGAATTAGAAGTTTCTCAGCAAGTTGAATGTTGCTGGGTAGCACTAGATCCACCTGCATCACCAGTTATAGCTTTTAACAACATATTTCTCGCCATTTGGAATGTGGAAAATGATCCTGCACAGGATTCTCATCCTGCTGATGGGGTGATGACTAGACAAGAGTCATCTACACACAGTCTGCAGTTGTGTAAGAAAAAAACAAAAGACTTAAAAATCAGCCAAACTTTGCACTGATGACAGAGCTCACAAAAACATTTTGTTTGTCATCCTCCATTTGTTGTTGTACCTCATTGTTCTGCAACTCATATCTGATCCAGTGTGGCGTATCTATCTATCTGTAGTTTACGCCTGCTGGAGACAGAACAAACTGAGTGTTGTTTGTGGTCTGAGGGAATGACGCAGGCAGCTAGTTATTAAAATTGGATTGGGGTTTCCCGCAATTATCCATTTGTTGTTCCTCAGCATTCTCCAACTCATTTCTGATGCAATGTGGTGTCACTGTCAGCTTTGGGTGCTAGGAAAGCAATACCAGAGCAATGTCTCCCTCTGCTGGAGTGCCTTTTAACTCACATGAAAAAACTAGTCACTGTACTGCAGGACAGTAAACCTGTTCAAATAAAATATCTTGTTCAAATTACACAAAGGCCTTTGCGCATACATTCATCAGGTTGTCATCATGGCAATGTTTGTGTGTTTTAATAGAATATTGTTACTGGTCCAAGAGATTACCCGATCTTCATATAAACTTGATATAAAAACACTGCATTGCTGGATGACAATGCCAATTTAATAACCGTAACAATAATAACCATCCAATTATTATCTATCATCATCATTATTGTATTATTAAATAACTGTACTGAAATGTATATAATTTAAAATTGTTTTTTAAGTAAGTAAGTGAGTAAGTAAGTGAGTAAGTAAGTGAGTAAGTGAGTAAGCAATGATTAAAGTTTTTAGTAGGTGCTTTTAAACCTTAATTGATGTTCCTGCCCTTGGATCCAGAGGCATAAATTCCACAGTTTAGTTAAGAGAACTAACTGAAGATAGCAGCTTCAGACATTTTTAGGAGACCTGCGAATAATGCACTGCGGTAATTGAGATTGAACCCTCTAATAAAAAAGAGGCACACACTCAAGACAAGGCCTCGGCAATAGTCTTTAAATAATATAACTCTGTTTTCGGGATGTTGTTTATATGCAGCTGGAAAGTTAGATCGAACTCAATTAATCCTAATTAATATATGGTGAGCACTGCTTTTCTCTTTGCTGTGGACTGTCAACTCAAATACATTTTGTGTAATTTCTGAATTAGATTTAGGAAATATTAGGACATCCATAAATTGTCAGAGATGCAGTTTACAAGGCTGTAAAGTTGGGTGAGGTCATCAGGATCGACAACAGTATACAGTGGGTTGTCATCTGCATATCAATGAAAGTTAATACTGTGCTGACCACGAGAGGTCAACATATGATGGATGATAAGTAGTGTGCCCAGTGCAGAGCCACGTTACATCAACTAACTAACTAACATCAACTCTTTCTGAATCTATGAATATGCAAGTATTGTTAATTTCTAAAATGTAAATGCTGAACACAAGATGTCTCCTAGTTCACTGAAAAGTCTATTCTCTGTGCATGTGACCTGGAGTTTTCAAGTTTCCACGTCACTCTTGTGTTTGTTGCATATTCAACCATGGTCTGCGTGAGATTTTAAAGTCACAGTTGGACCACTTCAAGAGTATAGATAAAACTTAATTGGTTAAATCATCAGTCAAAAATATTAAGAGCTGCGTTGAAAATATCTGGTTCTTTGATAAATAGTCAAAGGTACAAATTTCAGGGGAGAAATTAACTTTGACTCCCAGGGAGAGCTGCCAGCCAGACATGCAGAGATTTCTGAGATTTGTGAAAAGACAGAAATAGTTTACTAGAATTGCATTATCCGGGAGAGTAACAGTAAGGATACTGTTGAAGAAATAATTGAAATTGTAATACATAAAAGTGAAAAACACTCCCGGAACGAGGGGCCTCTATAGCAACTCTATAATCCACACTGTCCCTTCTCAGGCAAGGTGGTGGGGTTGTATCTTTGCGCACTTTGTTTAAATAGAGCAACAGATATTGTGGTTTTGCGCTGTGTTGTGTGTCAAATGGACATTCAGTAATGCGTAGTGAATATGTTTTGCAATTAAAACACATTCATATGATCAGTGTTTAGTGTTATTGCATGCATTGAGAGGGAGGACCAAAGATGTAACATTACAGGCGGAGGGATACAGTGCTGAAACTGAGCCATAGCCCGCCGGTGTCGCTGGATTGAGGTTTCCGGGCCGCTCTGGTGCAACACAGGGATACAGATTCTCCACAGATTTCCCGAGACATATACTGTAATAACGTTTGATATCATTTAAGTACTTTATCCGAATATCTGCCGTCCAAGCAAGGTCGAAACAAAACCGTACATCGGTCGTTTTGTCATCTTCACGAAGCTTGAAACGTCAACGGGACAATGGTGAGTAACGTTGGCTAGCTACGTTAGCCATGCTAGCTAACGTTAACGTTGGTTATACTGTTTTGCGCCAATTAGTAACGTTAGCTAACTGAGTCGATATTGCGTTAAATCACATCCTCCGCTAACGTTTTATAGTAACACTACAGCCGAGCTAACGATAGCTTTCTAGTGTTTTTACAAGCTAACGGACAAATGCAGTAAACCATGCGGTGGAGGGTTACTTTACATTAGCAGTTACCGATTATCACTGTGTAGGTCAGTGGGTTTCTGTATAACGTTATTTTACTCTGCAGTTAAACAGAAAACACTTGTCTTTATTATCTGTCATCTGCGCTGCGTAATGTAACTTTACACGTCGTGTTGCGAGAGCAAACATGCGGCCTGCTGCCTGCTGTACTCCTGTCATATCAATCATTAAACTGGTTTTCTCAAGTGTTTGTAAATACTGTGGTTTAACCTCCATGATCTAATCGAGGTTTGCATCGTTTACTTTGAGTCCCTTTGAGTGGGCGTGGTGGTGAAGGAGGTGGTCTGTACAAATAGACCGTCCAGCGTTAACGTGATCTCGAAACATGTCGTTAATCTTCCAAGACAGATATCAAAACTCTTGCTACCAACCATTTTGACATGCCACATAACAAGTGGCTGCAACACGCGTAGTACAGTACCTCTTGCAGGCACACCAGCAGTGCGCTTTGAATGCAGTGTGACATGCGCAACAAGCCAAAAAAAGGTTGTTATCGCCACCAATTGCTATTACATAAACTCGCAGGTAGTAGTTTGCTGCTCACCGCTTGTAAAACATTTTTTTTTTTGTCACAATGCATGGAGATCACGAAGGTTATGTTTCAACATTTTGGGCTACGTCTTCTCACAACACAACCATGACAGCATCTCCTCCGTTACGTATTGCGCCATAGCGTTGAACCGCATTCTGCTCCTGCTGAATGATCCTCTTCTCCACCCCTCCTCCGCGCCCCCCCCCCCCCCCCCCCGCATTGAACCAAACCATGCTTGGTGCAGTAGGCTGTCAGGACCCGCAGTGCACCCTCCAAAATATTCCCCTTTTTGGAGGGTGCACTGCAGATCTATATGCTGTCTGTATTGTGAAAGAACAGACACAAGATCTGGGATAGAAGTTTTAAAAACTACAATATCCTATTCGATCACATGCTTGTCTGTATGATTATTTTAAATCACCTGCAGCCTTTGCAGTTGTCTTTACTTGACATTAGAAAGGGAACATGGTCTCTTGTTTACCGACGAGTTGAAAAGCAGCACTACTGTTTTGCTTTTGCACTTTTCACAGCACTCCTTAAATCATCTCGCACTCAAAGGTGTGCCATGGTCTGTCTGATCCGGACACTGCTTGCTTCAGCACCACTGAATTGCTTGGCAGTGGACGGAGTCAACGCTCTGCAGTCTGTCTTTTTAACCCCCCCCCTTCCCTCCCCAACCAACACGGTGACTCATTGAATTTGACTCGAAGAAGAACACGTGGCGTTGCCACCACTTGGAGCTACAGACATGTTAGCTTTACTTCTCCTTGGTTTTTGAAAAATCAAGGGATTGTTTGAAACTCATTTATTCTTGTGTATCTGGTGCAAATGGACAATGGAAACAAGATTATTGTTTATTTCATGGATTGGCTCTGTAACTATATGGGTTCAAGTGATTCAATTTCAACTTTTGATTGTCCTCAGATAAATGATCCCTTAGTCGGTACGATATTATTGTAGACTTATAGGTTTTATTGAATGCCACAGTTATTGTTGTGTGTGATCATGCCAGTTGTTTCCAAGTCATCTGGGAATCACTTCTTGACAATAAAAAGGACTAAACACAGACACAAAGCAGCAACCACTGTAAAGCAACAGTTGCCACAGGGGTTGGTCTATAATGATAAAAACGAGCCTCTCGTCTGTTCAGTGAAAAAAAAGATACAATAAGGTGGTTGGTTATGGTGCTATTCAGTGTGCTACATTGGCGACCCTGTTCGTGTCTCACTAATTATAGCAGGCGTGTGTATTTCAGGCGGTGGAGTATTTATACCCGTCCCTCATTGCACTTTCTCAGCCTGAAGTGGGCATGTTGACTGACTTAAACAGGCCCGGTAAGACCTAAAGAGGACGGCAGAGTGACGTATCCGAGGAAGTTGACAAATCTGTTGCGTGTATGCAAAAGTAAAACCAATCATAAAAGCAGCGGGTTTGGATAACATCGTCACACTGATCTCAGCATTGTGGGTTTGTGTTAAATAGTAATGTGTTTCTCATTGATTAAAAAAAAATATTAACTAACTGACTGTATCTAAAGACTACTTCCAAATCTGGTATTTTATGAAATATCATCTTTCAAAGAGAAAAAGGCCCATTCATTAATGTGTCATTTATTAAGTACCCTCCTAATAAAGGGCAGTGTTTTCATTGCCTTGCATGTTTAAGGATAGTCTTTAGCTCCTTAGGCCTGGCTGTGAGATGATATCTGTGAATTTGCGTTTGCACAGATCTGTGTATGTTGATTTAACAGAGAAGTTTGCTCTGCTGCAGCTGCTCCTCGTTAGGCCTGCCCAAAGCTTTCATCTCTTTAATCATTGTACTGTGATTTCAAAATCAGATCCACCCAAAATGAATCTTTTTAGGATCAACCACTCGCCCACTGAAGGTGTAAAAGGTGACTGTTAAAAGTCTGTAGTTTCCTTCCTCACAAAGAACAGCAGGTGTGGCAGCTGTGCTGTGCCATATTGGAAAAGAAAGAAATAGACAAGTAGCAACTTACTTACTCCTGTAGCTGAATCCATTTTGTTCAGAAAAGTTTCATTTTTTATTTAGGATTTGGCTTCTAATCGTGACAGAACATTACATTAAACACACATCCTGAACATTTGAAACACCCTCCCATAACATATCCTGTTCGGGAGCTTTACGGTTTTCGAGGAACTAGGCTGGAGTACTGGATTGAAACAATTTTCTGTTGGCAATCTATATTTTGTCTAGTTTTACATCAGTTTTATGTTTGTCCTCGCCTAATATAAAATAAACTTACCTTCAATTTCAACTAACCAACTCAATTTAACATTTGACTGCTTTTTAAAAATCACATCATCATTCTACAGAGCTAAAAACATTCAAATGATGAAATATACTTTTATCATTAACATATTATTTTCATGATTGAATATCAGTGTTTAATCAATGTCTTGTTCTTTTGTTAACAGGCTGATCAGCTGACCGAGGAGCAGATTGCTGGTGAGGACATGTTTGGTTTGTTTTGGGTTTGGCGCCCTAATTCTCCACCAAACTCGAGGAGCTAGAGTCTCTCAAGAGGTTTAAGTAACCAGAGGTCTGTTAAGATTAGTTGGTGGCATGTGTAAAATTCAAATATGATGGGTTTTGAGTCACAGGATGAAACGTCACATTGAAAGCTCACATACGCACATACATTTTAGATATTTTGCAACAGATGCACCAGTGTCAGTCCAGCGCCCCACATGTTTAGTTCCTTCCTAGCATTGAGTTAGTCACACACAGACCCTGTTCATGCTTAGCGTGTGTTTTCTATTCAGACTGTTTGGAAGACTTGAAAGTGAAGGGTCTTTATCGGCATGAATGCTCGTGGCAAACTAACGGTGTTATTTCTGTAAATGCACAGAGTTCAAGGAGGCGTTCTCGCTGTTTGACAAGGACGGTGACGGTACAATCACTACCAAGGAGCTGGGGACTGTGATGCGCTCCCTGGGACAGAACCCCACCGAGGCTGAGCTGCAGGACATGATCAATGAGGTGGACGCTGATGGTGAGGATCAAACGCACAAGAAAAATTACACTCGTTAAAACTTATAATTACTAAAGTCTTAAAGGTAATCTTCATGTTAAGTGTTCCTCTAGCCTTAAAAAAACTACTGGAAAGTTTCACCAGTATATGCACTGTGTAGATATTTAGTGCATCAGCTGAAGCACTTTGCTTTAAATTACCATCATTTATATTTCCACTGGTGACTGTAATTGTCTAGCAGATTATCCCTCCCTGTTACCTCTGTGATATGCCAGAATCTTACTCCTATATGCTTTAAACACATTTTATACACATATACCGGGTGCTGAGATGAGCTAAGAATGTGTCGGTAGTATCCCCAGTCTACATGCATCGGTTCTACTCTCGATGGAATACAATCTGTTCTTGAAGCCACATCTGTTTTGGAAGTTCATTAAATTGTATTTCCTTTATGTTTTGTGCCATTGAAAGTGTTTTTGGATTGATATGCTCAGGTTGTGTGTGACCAAAGTCACACATCCACTCTGACCTCATTCTGCTTGTATCGCTGTGTAGGCAATGGTACAATTGACTTTCCTGAGTTCCTGACCATGATGGCCAGGAAGATGAAGGATACAGACAGCGAGGAGGAGATCAGAGAAGCCTTCAGAGTCTTTGACAAGGTATGTTAAGACTGAACAGACCGCCAAAATTAACTAGCAGCACTCAAAAAAACTAGGAACTCGTTTTTTTGCCGCAGATTTTTTATATCCGTTGTATCCTTGTGATGGGCGAGAAAAAAGAAACAAGTTCAATTCCCTTCATGTGATATATTCCAGTATGTTTAGAGAGAGATTTGTGCATGATGGTATGTTTTCCTTTGACCAGCACTCTGGTCCATTCGAAGGCTTTTCATTGGTGTCTCTCTGCTAGCTCAACGATAATCTTTAGCATGCAAATGTTTAGCATTGAGCTCTAAGTACAGGTGAGGCTAAAGAAGTACAGTTCACATGAATGTAACTGGCCTCAGAGTTAGTAAAGAATAGTGAAAAACTCTTAGATAATCAAGTTATACTGACCTAGAACATCACAGGAGGACACTGGAACCTTCTTCAGTGGTATTCAGCGTTTAGCTGCTATACAACGTGATGAATAGATACAATAACAATAGTTCCTCTGTTGGTCATTGGCAGGATGGTAACGGCTACATCAGTGCAGCAGAGTTACGGCACGTCATGACCAACCTGGGGGAGAAGCTCACCGATGAGGAGGTGGACGAAATGATCCGCGAGGCTGACATTGATGGCGATGGTCAGGTCAACTATGAGGGTGAGACGCTCTTTATGGTTATTTCCTTCCTGAAGAGGTGTGATATTACGTCATCTTATTGGAACGAGGAACACATTTATTGTTGTTAAGATTTCAGTTGCAACATAACCTTTATGATCATTGTAGCAATTTCTTGAAACAAAACTTCCCCTTTTAGCGTCTGTTGTTAAAGCGTTGTCTTCTGTTGTATTCACAGAGTTTGTCCAGATGATGACTGCCAAGTGAAGAGAACAACACATTTCTCTCAACGTTGCTTGTCCTCCCGAGATCACTGTTTTTAGGAACCACAAAAAAAAATATCAATTATCAGACGATAAACCAACTTCCCCCCCAAAATCACTATAAAATCAAACAATTTGCGCTTAAGTACATCCAAATACTTCTACGGTATCTGTTTAGCAAACACCAACAGAATAATCCCGAGAGAAGTGAATGGACCTTTAAGAGGGCCGAGGCCCTGTACTTCAGACCAAGTTTCTGCTGAGTCACCCAGCTCCTGATTAATTTAGAGGAAAGAGCAACAGTGAAAAGGCGGAGGGATTGGAGCCCTCACCACAGTTGGTATAGAGCCGTTGGCTATTTCATTCTTTCCAATATTTAACAAAGAACTCTAAATACTGAATTGAGTACTCTTCTTGCATGCACCCTTTCTGTTGGCGGTCTCTTGTCCCAACAAGGAGGCTCTGATCAGAAGTAGCGGTCAGACTGTGTACACACTGGAGGTATATACATTACTATATAGCTATATATCTGTAACATTTGTGTCACTATTGGTTTTGCAAGAGCAACTAGTTGCGGTGTAGGGTGCTCGGTTGCAATCCTAATACCTTGAAGAGTTCAGGCGAGAGCGAGAGACTGGAAAGTGCAACCGGTGTTGTCCTCTCGGGGGTGATGTGTTGTCTGGTTTTGAGTCGTGGGCTTTAACAGCGTGCCTGCAGCACTGATTGGAGACGCTGGTATCTGATATTGCTTCAGGAGGATTATTGTGAAGACAACACTTGCACTGGACTGCAGTTAATATATTTGTTCTGCAATGTTCAGATATCCTGTTGATACAATATTGATGTTATAAATGTTCCTCAAATATTAATGTATTAGTGACAAACTTTGGTCACCAAATATATCCATATATATATATATATATATATATATATTAGTGTATCGTAAAAGGTGTTGTAGTAAATGACCTGTGACATGTTTTCCCTTTTGGTTTTGAAATGTGCCATAATACTCTAAAACGCCTCCACCCTCTTGCAAGACTCGTAATTCATTAGAATATAATCCATCAACTTAATATAATGGCGTATAAAAGTACATGCAGTTGAACATATTTGCACTTTGGTATAAACCATGTGGATATTAAAAAAAAAAAAAAAAAAAAGTTGTAAAAGAAGAAGAAAACGAAACTAAATGTCGCTGCTGCTGTAACAACTCATTTGTTGTCCTTGTTGGTGTCTGATCTTCCATTAGTCCAGTGATTCAATCTTCTATCCGCTTGCTGTTTTACTGAACTAAATACATTTACTGTATATTCACAGAAACTGGTGGTGGGGGTGATTGTGTTTAATTTGGGCTGTTCGAGTGGGACTTCCAAGATTAGGGATGAAACGGGGTTGTAGCAAAGAATGCAGCTTTAGAAGTGAGATGGTTTAGGGGGGTTTTGAACAGTTGGCTGAATTTAAGGAGCTGGTTAGCTGAGGTGTCTTTTGATTTCCTCAAAGCATGAAACTTAAAAACTGCTCTGCTTGAGGCGTTGAAATCGGTTAACTTTTGATCGGGATGTCGGGGAAGTGAATGGACTGTTGAAGGTATCTCAAAAATGTAAAGATGTGATATATTTTACATAAATCAATAAACTGAGCTTTACTTCACCTGCATTTTCACTGTCATCTCTAATCGAACGTGAATCTCTATTTGACACACATCCTGTTTCAATTGGTTTGAAGACTGGTGTCCTTTTCCCTGCCAGTGAAGGAACACTAATCCCATCCCGGCAGTCTCATGTTGGGACGGGGCAAGTCCCTCTAGTTCTTAACCGGAGAACCATCTCAGACGCAGGCTATATTTAGTGGCTCATGAGGTAGCTATACTGGAGCCTGTGGTAATCCAGGTCAGCTTTAGGGTCGTGACCTGTCACCCACACAAGGGGCCCTCGCCTTCTGGCTGACGGGCAACTCCCTCCGCCAATGGAATGAGGCGTTATCTGGGCCAGGTAAATGTGATTGGATGTGCGTTGACATGCTAATCGTTTGGTTAAGTAGATAAGGAAAATGAATTATGAAACGGGAGCACACTCAGCAGGACAGTAGAACTGTAGCATCACAGGCACATGCAGGTGTGATTACCTCCCCCCCCCCCCCCGGCTCGTCACTGGTGTAGCTCCCTCTGTGCTGTATGATAATATAGTTGTCACAGAGAGCAGTGAGAATAACAGATGTTCTTTAAATGTTAGGCTGGTTTCATCAGATGCACTTTAAGTAAATCATACATGTAGGGAACGGCCGGTATTTGGGTGTTATAGTGGAGATATTTGGGTATCTGTTTTATTTTACAGTAAATCTACAGCATTATCTCCATTGATGAAGAGCAACTAAATGCATTTACTCAAGTACTGTAATTAAGTACCGCTTGAGGTATTTGTATTTGTGAATATTTCAATTTTGTGCTACTTTATACTATTTCAGAGGGAAATATGTAACTTTTAACTCCACAGTTGGACATAGTTGCTATAGTTCTACAATTATACATACATGACTTTATAGATTTGATGCAATATTATAGAATAAACTACCCAACAGGATATACATGTACTTAATTACTTTCTACCACTGTTGGCCATAAATTATGTTTTTTACCAAGCCTTTGATCCGCACTGGTATCTTTAATCAAATGCCTTTGAAATATTACATCAGTGAAGGTCCAGTTAGTCAAGTACTAGGCACCATACACACTGTGGCCCATAAACATTAAATAAATCCACAAACATCATATGGTAGCAGAGGATTTGACCATAACTTCAACACGAGGTGGTGTTGTTTAAACATCCTCTAACTATATTGCCAGTGTCTTATTTGGGACACACAGTGAGGCTGAGACAAGAAAGAGACAATATAACTAAAAACAGCTGCATTTTCAATGAATTTTCAATGAATTTTCAATGAATTCAGCTTCTTTTAATTCAGTTCTTCTTAAATACAGAAATAAGACGTGTGTGTGTGTGTGTGTGTGTGTCGGTGTGTGTCGGTGTGTGTGCGTGTGTGCATGCATGAATTGCATTGTTGGATATTAATGTGTTTGCTTGGTGGCACCACACCCACTATACACAACTGTGTACACATGTAACCTAACCACCCCTTAGCTTGAGAAAACTTTTCATTCTCATTATTTACCCGGGGGAGGTGGTTGTGGAATATTATGTCAACTTTGCTCTGCTGAGTGTGTTACTATTTCGGGAATAATATGTTTGAACAGCTCAACTAATGTATACGCACAATACTTCCCCTTCCAAAAACATTTACAACAGAATCTCCCTCTTCGTCTTACGTCTGCCGTTTGGACATGCTTCACTATCGAGTGCTACTTTCCACCCTTTCTCACTTTGCCTGTTGCCAAACCAAAATTGTTATCACATGTGCTTTTTCCTGCACACTACGTGTGTCATGTCACTTTAAAATCGCATTACATCATACAATAACCATTGTACCATTGTTGGCTGTTGTGGAGAATTCATCACCAGCTTCTACTGAAACAAACAGATACTAGTATGTTTTTAGGGTGTGTATGTTTTATTTCAGCGATCGAGTGCTTGTTCTTGGACACAGACACTGCGTCCCTGGTTAAACTTGATCAAAGGCTGGCTTATCTGCCCAGCATGTTACAAACACCATCAAAAAAAACTGAGCTGTTGTTTAAAATGATGTCCTCTACAACAGTCTTGTTTTGCTTGTGACCCTTTAAAACAAAACTGTACAGCAGAAACATGTGCTTCCCTCTTAATCATCTCTCAACGCGTTGAGACGTCCTGACCAAGCACTGCTCTGCAAGACTTCTTGTTCAGACCACCATCTACTTCAGTTGTTTTAGTGAGTGTGGCGGCCTCAGGTTGTCTGAAGGACGGGGTGGAAAAATATGGAAAGGTCAGCAGCTGCACACAGTGGGTCACCAGCATGCAGAAAGTACCCGAGAATGTCCTTCAACACGTTTTCTCAACTAGAAGGGTGTCCGAGAGGCCACCTCATGATGTTTTACCTACAGGAGCATCCAAGAGGGCACTTTAGCTGCTGTTTGTTCAAAAATGATTTGCACCTGTGACCACATACACTGTGCTATGTTTCCTTTGTGTAGGTTTTGCCTTTGAGATGAAGACAGTATGTTAAACTCATATTTGATGAATGTGTCAGATGTGAAAACCAACATATCTATTATGAGAACACCTAAATCTTATCTTTAAACTTTCATTTGTTTTCAACATCCCTTTTTTTTTGCTGTTCCCGTGTGTATTGGATAGTTGACGGAGAGAAACAGGGTTATGACGTGCAACATAGCCGTGGTTATGTGGTATCCATCTTAACCACTCATCACCGGGATGCCCCCCTTCATGTATTTTCTGGACACACAACTCAGCATTCATTTGCAGTACGTACCACTGCATTGAGACCAGATGTCCATGTAATACTAGACACATTTTTATTTAACGCAAATATCTGATGAACTTGAATATGGTCATGTGACCATTTTCCATTTAATGATTTGATAAAGAAGACCAATTAAGTAATATATATAATTTCAAGATCATCCTCAAGTAAGATGCGCTTGTTTTCTTTTCAGTCACATTTATGTGTTAAACTGTACTTAATCACTCTGTCCTTTGTGCATTTTTTGCGCCCTAATAAGTTATTTGGTAGATGACTGCTGTTAATTTGTAAAGATGTGTTCAGTTTAATTCTCTAAAATTCATGTTCAAAAGCTCAAAAGTAGTTGTTACACAACAAAACCCCCCCAAAAACCGAAAACATATGTGGAGGGTGGAGGATGAATTAAGGAGTGTCACAGCCAGAGGAAAGAAGCTGAGACTAAAGGACGTCACGAAAAGACCTCTCCACAGAATACTCCACTGAGAATGTCAGCATAACATTTTGTGATATCACTGACCATGTACATGATTATATAGCGATTAGACTGTCTCTTGTACAACATTTCAGTCATTGCTGTGTGCTATCACTGCCTGATTGTGCTGTTTGATGACTGTAGCTCACTATCGCTTAATGAAATTATGAGATTATGGATGAGTCATCCCTGGGAAACTATAGAGCTTCAATCTATAAAGCAAATCGATGCTCATAGAAGAAACTATGCATTTTGAGAAAATCCTCCTGTGGCCTCCAAAGATTGGTTCTCAGAATGTTATGACTCTATTAGTACATTAGTGAAGTGGTTTTAAATGGGAAATTCCCAGGTCACATTCACATTTTCTAATTACACACCACAATGACTTTCTTGAACTGCAGCTGCGATGTGTCCAGTAACCTAAAAATCCAGTCCAAAATACCGCATTGGCTGATAAACAAATGTATTTAGTGAAAACTGCTAAACTGTAGTTTTCTTTTTTTTTTTACTTTATTTTGAGTTCAGCACCAAAATCACTCTGAGGACTTTTTAAAACACATTCTGGATGCAAGAAAGTATTTTAAATTTGATTCGATTTAGTTTTCTCCTAAAAGCTCTCAAGCATAACAACAAGTTTGAGCATACATATCCATGGCAACTTAGCTTCATCTGCTGATGAAGACCACAAGGTACAGTCAAAAGCTCCAGAACAAGTACCTAGACCTTGAGTTGAGTTGAGTTTTGTCAACTGCTGTTTCAAAGGTCAAGGCTCACCTATAGTTAGAAGAAGCTCAACAAACAGGAATAGGCATGCAACATCTTGTCTAATTTACAGACGAGAGTAGTGCCTTTTAGTACATTAATGTACGGAGACCTGCTGCAGGCTAAATGTTGATCATCTGACGGAAACCCGACTGAAATTTAACATTGTGCGACCAGCCCCTTCTCATTCCCAGAGTGTCAACTACAGATGGTATGTCAAGCCTCTCTGCGTATGTTACCGACACACAAGTCACCCTTTAGCGTCTGTATGAGACCAGGCGCTCAATAAACTGCAATATAAACTATCTGTGTCTTTATAAGAAGCTCTGAGAAAATGCTCCGGGTTCTGATGATGTGGCATAATGACCCACACAGGGGGGATGGATCAAACAAACACAGGACTTTCAACCAGCAGACCGACGTTCGATATGGTTTCAAGTTAAAGTGGTTCTGTTGCCTAAACCTAAGCAAGTGTCATTGTTTGGATTCACAAGGTTATTTATGTGTTTAAAGTGATGCCACGGTCTGACAAAGAGCCAGAATGTGACGAGTTGGGATGAGAACGTGTTGGACTCTGACAGTGATGACACAAAATGATGATGATTAGAATGTGTTCTATTCAGTTTCTATTATATATAGAGCAGTGAATGACATGTCTGAGCTTCTAAATTGTATTAACTGTCTAATTCTGGTGCAGCGAAAGAGAATGAAAAGAGAAGTAAAAATGCTTTTTTCTTTCAACACTACTAGAAAGGGGAACCATGAATTTAACCTTTCTTCCTGTCTTGAAGAGCATGGGAAGGCTGAAGTGATATTTCACTTTGGTAGAGTGTTGTCTCTTTCACTTTGTGGCAAATAATGTACATCTGCTTAAGGGTTCAGCAGAAGTAGTCTGGAATTTGTGGTCTTTCATTTTTCATTTCTATGCTTACAATAGATTAGAAGATTTGTAATGGCCTCAATATGCTTCAAACTAACTAGACTATACCGTGTGTTTTCTATC